GGCAGGGAAGCTGATAAGCTCCTCTCTGTGTAGTGCAGCCTGTGCTCGTGGCACCAACTACTTCCCAGTGCTGGCCTCCCTCAGTGGCTCCACCCCTGCTCCTCTTTCCCTGAGGCCATGCCCCCTGGGCAGGTCAGAAGCCAGAACCGGGACACCACCCAGGGAGCCCAGACTGCACTGGGGAGCCCTGGCACACCCCAGGGAGTGGGGACATGGGCCGGGGGCTGCTCTCAGAACCCCAGACCTATGTCCAGGGCAAGTGGAGTGTCAGGGGGTCTTCATAGTGGGCAAGTCTCCCATCCTGGCCAGGGGGCAGGGCCTCGCTCTGGGCCACGGAGGGGGCGGGGCCACACAAACAGTCCTGACACCACCCTTAGTGCTCAGTTCATGCCCATTCTGATGAACAGAAACACTCTTAACTGAGTTGCACCCGAACAGAGTTCTGTGCCACATCCCTCTGCTTCACCTGGTGCAGGGGGTCTCCCCTTCACTCTTCTCCAACATCCTGCGTTTCCTTTGGGCAGGGCTGGACTCTTCGATTGGAGCTGCTCACTGCTTCCTGGATTGGGGAGATGCTCTTCCTGTGATGCCGGCAGCTCCTCCCTTCTCTGTGGGCAGGAGATGGGGCTACCCCACCCAATGTCACCTCTCGCTCTCTGGTCTTAAGCAGCTCTTCCCCAATGCTGCACCTTCCTCTCTGTTCCCTGGCCTGGGAGTGGAGGCTGCATTAGGGGAGGGAGCTTCCCTCGCGGGGGGGGTGGGGGTTTAAAGCTGGTATCTGCCTGCCTCTTCTGCTCCCTCCTCGATAAAAGCTTCTAGCACCTTCTTGGCTGTGTCTCTGCCACTATGAATGGGGCAGCACCAGGAGCAGGATCTGGGAGCTGCTGAAGCCTCTGTGATAAATGAAGCAAAGAGTCCTGTGGCACCTTATAGACTAACAGATTTATTGGAGCATGAGCTTTTGTGGGTGAATACCCACTTCTTTGGATGCATGTGGGTATTCACCCACGAAAGCTCATGCTCCAATATATCTGTTAGTCTATAAGGTGCCACAGGACTCTTTCCTGCTTTTACAGATCCAGACTAACACGGCTACCCCTCTGATACTGTGATAAATGAGAAACTAATGAAGTGGGACCCATTGCAAAGACTGAGGAGCTGCAGTGACATCTCTGCTCAGTCTACCAGAGGCAGCTCCCTGGGATCCAGGTCTGTCCCAGCCAGACCAGGGCTGCTGGGGATTGTGAGAAATGGCCCCAGCCTCCCCCAGGGCTGAGCTCTGCCCCTTACGCTCTGATTCTCTCTCCCCGCAGTGAATGTGACTCTGGATCCAGACACGGCTCATCCCCACCTCGTCCTGTCTGAGGATCGGAAAAGTGTGAGATTGGGAGACACAGGACGGGATCTGCCTGACAATCCTGAGAGATTTGACACTGTGCTGTGTGTGCTGGGCTGTGAGGGATTCACCTCAGGGAGACATTGCTGGGAGGTGGAGGTAGGGAGTGGGCGATGCTGGGCTGTGGGGGTGGCCAGAGAGTCTGTGAGGAGGAAGGGACAGATCAGCTGTAGCCCTGAGGAGGGGATCTGGGCTGTGGAGTGGTGGCGAGGTCAGTTCCGGGCTCTCATGTCCCCTGAGACCCCCCTGCCCCTGAGCCGGGTCCCCAGCATGATCCGGGTTTGTCTGGACTGTGACCAGAGGCAGGTGACATTTATCGATGCTGGTGACGAGGCCCCGATCTTCACTTTCCCACCGGGCTCCGTCCCTGGGGGGAGAATCCGACCCTGGTTCCAGCTGTGGTACAGATCTCGGCTCAGACTGTGTCCCTGAGACACGCAACAGAGGGGGGAACGGGAAATCAGCCTCTCTAGCCTCACACACCCCAGTCTCTATGATCTTGGAGGACTCCCATCTACCGAGCCCCTGGCTCCTCATCTCTATGATCCCTGGAAGCTCCTGCCCCTCCCTCTCTTCAGCCCCAGGGATTCGAGGGGGAAGGGGAAGGGAGAACAACCCCTGGGGCTGTAGGAGGGGCAGAGGGGCCCTGAGGGGCAGAGGTGTGGGCAGAACTAACAGCCAGACTGGGGACAGGCAGAGGTGTGGGTGGCGAGGACACAGCATGAATCAATCAGGTTTGGGAAGGTGGTGGCGAAGCAGCAGCAGCAACAGCGTTTTGTACAGATCTAAAACAACAAGGAGTACTTGTGGCACCTTAGAGACTAACAAATGTATTTGGGCATAAGCTTTCATGGGCTAAAGCCCACTTCATCAGATGCATCAAATGGAACATATATTTCGACCTTTAAAGTCTGTTACTGAGTGGCCAGAGAGGATGAAGTGTTCTCCGACTGGTTTTTGAATGCTATAAATCTTGATGTCTGATTTGTTTCCATTTATTCTTTTGCGTAGAGACTGTCTGGTTTGTCCAATGTACATGGCAAAGGGGCATTGCTGGCACATGATGGCATATATCACATTGGTAGATGTGCAGGTGAATGAGCCCGTGATGGAGTGGCTGATGTGATTAGGTCCTATGATGGTGTCCCTGAATAGATATGTGGACAGAGTTGGCAATGGGGTTTGTTGCAGGGATAGGTTCCTGGGTTAGTGTTTTTGTTGTGTGATGTGTAGTTGCTGGTGAGTATTTGCTTCAGGTTGGGGGGCTGTCTGTAAGCAAGGCTTGGCCTGTCTTCCAAGGTCTGTGAGAGTGAGGGATCATCCTTCAGGATAGGTTGTAAATCTTTCAAGATGCACTGGAGAGGTTTTAATTGGGGGCTGAAAGTGACAGCTAGTGGCTGTATACTGCATTTGCTCCAATCCCTCAGACAGAGACAAACACCCGTTGCCAACTCTGTCCACATATCTATTCAAGGGACACCATCATAGCACCTAACCACATCATCCACTCCATCAGGGGCTCATTCACCTGCGTTTCTACCATGTACATTGGCCAAACCAGACAGTCTCTAAGCAAAAGTGGCAATTTTTCAACAAAAATCTTCAAAAACAGACT